AACCGTCGCAGTCGTTTTACATACCAATCTTTTAGGAATTCGTTTACGTGCATTTATCTAAATATTCTTAGTTCCCATACTTACAGAAGGATCAACATGTTTAGAATCTGTAGGCTTCCCTAGAGTTGGAAATCGATGTCGCTGTAAAGACCGTACTTGGGTTACTGGTCTTTCAAATTAACTGGTCTGAAGTAAATTAATATTTTACGATGAATACGAAAATAAAGCAATAAGTTTCAACTCTAAAAGGATTTCTCAACATTTTGATTTTGTTCAAGCTTTTCTGGTTTGTCTGTTCAATTTCTTTTAGGAACTTTGTTGCGATCTGCCGCCTTCCTAGATTGATAATTCCGGCTTTGTACGTCGCCGTTTTTATTTTATTATTTTTTTTTAACTTTCTAACTTCTCAGTTCAAGATATGGGGCTGAATCAAATTGTTTGCCCATCTAGATATACATCTGCGGTTAATCTACAAGCCGTTAATTATAAATCAGCCAGTGTGTAAAAAGGTAATTTTTTGCTGTAGACCTATCATTTAATAAAATCAGAATATTTATATTTCGTCCATATTATACGAATTGAAAACAAAATCAAACAGTAGAAATTATCTGCGCACAGTATCCTTCTACTGACATCAATGTATAAATTATTATTATATAGCATGTCGCCTCTGATGTTATTAGCTGGCGTTCCATTTTCCTCTTAAGTGGATTTAAAAATAATGTTAATTGCCTACCAGCTTAAGAAGTGCCGTGTATCTAAGCGATTGCTATTTTGTTTCAGAAATTAACACAATGCCATTCTTCAAGTCTACCAATCGAGACTCGTAGCTTTTACGGCTTGGGCCTTATAGGTTCAGTTGATAATTTCAAAATGCTACTGGCCTGTTAAGTCCCAAGCTGCGAAAGATAAAACGCATCAATTGTCTTCAAACTGACATCTTCAAGTTGAGTGAGACCAGGAAAAAGGAAAAAATAATTTGCACAAATCAAGCAAATTTGACGAGCAAGTTTAGGAGCAAGTTATTTGCTTTTTTTAGAAGACTACACATTGCAATGAGAATATGCGCAAAAGATGTTCTAATTTGTATGTATCCAAATTCAATAAAAAGTTAAATAATAAATAAGATAACTAATATTAGTTATGAAATACAACTGTAATTATAAAATACTCCTAAAAAAATACATAAGTTAATAAGAGTATAAAGTTATCACTTGACTTGCATGTTGGGTTTGAAATAAAAATTAGTGAGTCTCTAACCGAAATATCTAAAAATCAAACATGTTTTATCTGAATTTTGATGAGGATTTTATATACTGTATGATGCCACCAAAGGGTGGCAGTAGGTTACGTACACTTAATTCAAAAAAAATCCATCAAATTGTAAAGTGAGATAATGAAATAATAGAAAGCCGCCAATTTCTTTATTTTTTTAGTTACAGGGTGACTCACATTATGACAAACAAAACAAGCAATCCATGCCTTTGTCCTGTGAGAGCTTTTTGAAACGTAAACATTTTTAGAGTTTTGCAGAATATTTTCCCTCCAGTATAGAAAAACTACTCAAAATGTTTTGAATGAGACAACAAAGCTTTGAATGAGACTTTCAATTGAACAAACTTAAGAATATGTGCAGTTTTTTATTCTAAAAGGTATTTACGCCAATAACTGAAATGAGTTAAAATTACATTTTTTAATGTAAATAATTTTTACATGAAACATCCACTTACAAAAAATAGAAAATTTGTTGATAGTAGCATTTGCTTCAAGCAATTGACTAGCTACTTAATTAAGCTTACTAATGTAATCCTATATAAATGGATCTACTATCAAAAACTATTTTCTGGTACTACTATGTATAACCTTGTTACTTAGTATCAACTTATTTACTAAAATATGTATTTAAGTTGAAAAATATTTGATGGGTCGCTCTTTCTAAATAAAATTATTTCTTGAAAATTATTCAAATTTACTTCATGAAGCGCAGACTTTAGGATTTTCTGTACTGTACTGTAAAAGTACGATTTTTTTATTAGAGCAAACAAATAGGTAACTGAAAAATGTGTTAACTAATTCCGCATTTAAAACCATCTCTCTTAAACAGGATGATTTGCTTATCGCTCAAACACCCAGTTGCTACATGCTTTTTCAAAAAATATGACAAGAAGAAATTCAACTCAGTGCTGATTTAATGATCGCTGATGAAGTTTATGAAAGAGGATTAATTTATACAGGTACTACTTGTGTAGAAATTCCTAATAATATTGTTAAATAATGTATAGTAATAAGAAAGTATGTTATTAACTTTTAGTTAAAATTCCGACGTTTTTCACAGAAATTCAGTGTTGCTATTTTCAAAAACCAAGTACCAAATATTCGCCAGGATTTTAACATTTTGTAATTATCTCGCAATAAAGACATTAACATTATAAATGACCTCGCATAATCTACATCCTATCCACTCAAGAATAAAGTAGAAGTATACTCTAAAATAATTTCGATTTTGGTCTAAAGTCGAAAATACCATTTTCCCCCCAGGTTATCCCCAAATGTGACACCGATCGCAAATAAAAAACATCATTTTTGCATCCAAATGCAGTACTAATAAGTGTAAACACATAACTTGAGTTTGAACCTTCTATACAAACAGCAATCTGACAATATAAAAAACCCAGGTTGTCCATTCAAAAAAAGTGCATCTTTCATCATTTCATTCTTTCATTTAGGCTAAATTGATATGAAATCGTATAAAAAATTTGCTGTGCTCGTTTCACAGTCTAGTGTCCGGACACCAGGTATTTACATGAAAAGTACCACGGGCTAGCATCATCAAACTACTTCTATTCAAGAGATGTTTTTATGAACTCCCGTCAAACATAGGTAGTTGATAAGTTTCATATGGTGGATTCATATTTTGAACACCATTTTGTCTCGAAATTTGTGTCTTCTGAGAAGACAGAATTTCCTAAACTCTTCTATAATATTTTCAAACGGCACACGAATTTCGTGCAAAATATCCAACAAAAAACTTTTGAATTTCCAAACATAGCAAGTATTTCAAAATTATTAACAAACAACTGCGTTGCTAATGCTAAGTAAAATGAGTGTGCTAAGTATTAGCTGCTACTTATAAAGATTTTCCATCCCCAAAAAAAGGTCGTTTATCTTTTTAACACGTTTTATTCTTTTCTTTCAGTTAAAACGTTTTCCATATTTAAATTTGTTTTAATTATTTAGTTTTGTTAATTTACGTTAATAAAATTAAAGCCGTTGTTCGGTTTTATCAAGATAATCACGAACGTAGCAAAGGATTTACGACCACAAGGACCACAAAGGTCGTCTAATTTTAATCTGAGAGACTATATGAGCACTAAAGTTCGTGTCCCATACGAAAGTATTTCTATTGGTTGGAGATCTGTCAGTTCGTACGACGGCGGACGAATTGACAGATCTGCAACCTAATTCTTCTCTAATTGGGATTTTTGCGTTACAAAATGTACCCCTGGCAGAAAAAACACACCGAAAAGAAGATCACGATTTTGTTTTTTCGAACAGCTTTCAACTTTAAAATAAAATGTTTTAGGCCTTTTTTGATTATTTTAGTCGCCGACACACGGAAGTTTAACTTCCGTGTGTTAACCACCGAACCGACGCAAAAGCGCAGTTCACCAATATGATTGATCTGAGCATTAAGAAATTTCGTTACTTTGCGCATTAAAAACCCAAATCATAGTTTACACTAGTTTTTGGGTGCAATATGTACAGTAAATTTTAATACCTAATTTTGGCACTAAAAGTGATTTATTTGTGCTTTTGATCGAAACACTTTCAATAGATAAGGTGCAAAAAAGCTGTTCTTTTAAAAACGCCATGCTATGAATAATATTCCGAATCTAAAAGAATGTATGTACATTTATGTGTTTCATTATTAGCTGGAAAAACAAATATTTATGGAAATATTAACGGCAAAACTAGTTAGATCTAGAGCAGCTAAATTGACGAATTAACAGACTGATAATGAACAGAGCTTTTTAAAGAACAGTAAAAAAATTCGACATCGAGTCGCAAACAATTTGTCCAATCCAAGCAATCGGTCCAAGCACTGCCTGGACCGATTTCGAGCCTGTTAACTCTCATCAAATGGGTTCATCATGAAAATAACACTCACATGAGTACAGGCATAAGTGCGCGCTTCGGAAGTGTTATTTCTAGGCTAAACCCGATGAGAGCTAACGGGCTCGAAATCCATCCCTGAGATTAACATCTCGAAATCTGTACCTGCAGAGTATTCTAAACTTAGTTTAAAATTAGTGCAAAAAAAATGTAAACGTTTATATATGTGTGGGAATTTCTTGCAGGTAGTTAGTACATATGGAACAAGCCGGTTGACAAATTTGGGGTTTCTTAGCGGCATTTGCCAGTATTAAATGACTGCAATGCCCTTGGAAATCCCAAAAATGTTCAATACATCTTCAGGATGTCAACTACATATATTTATAAAATTATAAATTGCTATAATTTACATTTGTTGTGTTGCTATTAGATATATTAATGTCTTGTGATTGTTTCGTCATGCAGCTATTATACTTGTATATTGAACAAATAGTAAAACTTTCAAAAGTGAATCGTGTTTTTATTGTTATTATTGCCCATACCTAATTCGACTAATCCCAATTACACAACTTCCTATAATCAAATATATATATATAATAAATTTAATAATTCTGTCAGACTGCTAAAGACTAGTGAGGGATTTTATGCCCTATGCAATAGGAATTGGTTTTTGATCGCGTTATTAGGCCGGGAGCGAAAACTCTCATCTCAAACTTATATTTCTCAATCTCCCCTTTCAGTTAGAGATGATAGCAAATAGTAGCATTCAAGCTGAGGCAAAGTCTTCCCGATAAGTAAATTGGGTTTCTTATTTATATTTCACATAAAAAATAAAACAACTCTCACTAACCCCCCAGACTGCCTGAAAAAAAAACAAATCAATCCCATTTATATTTCAATTGCTCTATTATATTCACGTGTTATTTCTTGGGTTGTTCATATCAACTCATATATTCATATATAATAATTCATTTTCATAAAATCAATCAGTCATATTTTTTGGTGGTTGGCGGGTACATCTAATAAAAACAGTTTATTTACAAAAGTTTAAGTGTAATGTTTTAACAAAAATATAAGGAACCCAAATTACACTAAATTAAATAATTACAGCCACCTAATCCCACGATTTGCATTCTGCAAAAGTTCTTGGCTTGGATGCAGTGAAATTGTCTTCATCTTCATCGCTTTGAGCCTCTTCTTCAATGGGTTCAATCGACCTCTTGGACATGCGGATGCTACTTCTATAAAACACAGCTATTACCAATTAAAGATGAAGAATAAATAAATCGTACTGCATGATTAATGAGTGGTATTTCTAATGAAAAATGTTAATCTAAGAAAAAATACCTACTATTTAAAGAATATTTTATGTCCCAGTCAAGATTCACCGCCAAAAAAACCAAAGAAAAATAAAGAAACTCTTTAACAGTTCATAGATCTCCATTCATGAAATCAGTAAAATGGGTAAATATCATTTGCTCAGCAGAAGTTGTTAAGAAGAAAATGGTTTATCAAGCTCGCCCAACAGCTCATTTACATTATATTATTTCCTATTCGGTGATGATTAGATTTAGATTTGAAATTAGACTGCACATTATCATACACGTTTAGTATCGTTTCCGGCAAGGAGCGTTTCCAGTCCAGCAAAAAGACTGCGCATTCACATTTTCATATATTAAACTAGGCCTGAGTAACACTCTCTGAGTTAATGTTCACATCTAACAAGAAAAAGCCATCAACATATTGCGTGAAAATATGGAAATTTTAAAGAAAATTTCAGAGCGATTAGGGTGACGCGTTTTCCAAATATTGATTACATGTTTTTGCTTTCTCTGGTCGTTTTTTGAGGAAACCTAAATTTTGTCGAAAAAAAACAAGATAACTTTGTTTCGATTTTGTCCCAAATTCAAAGGTTATTCGAAAAACTATTCGAAAAAGACGATAAAGGCGAACAAACTGTAGACGACGACTTTCTTGTAAAATCCATCTTTTAACTTTTTTGCATAAGACTCAGTTTGCCAGTATTTTACAGTGAAACGTTAGGAAAAACGCGTTGTTCTGTTTTGAGAGAGATTTGTATAGAAATATTGACCTAAAAGTGAAGAAACTGGAATTTAAATAAGCCAAATTATTCACAGCGACAAGTGACGAGTTTTCCGAATAATTGATTATAAACTTTCACTTGTTCTATTCGGGGAAATATTTTTGGGAAAAAATCTAGAAAAAATGAAAAAAACAAAAATTAGGGTTTTGTCCAAGAAAGCTGTTCAGGAGCCGAGTGCTCCAATGAAACGTATTTTATAATTTTCACAGAAAATACCTGATTATCAGTATTTTAAGTAAAACTAAAAATAATACGTTTTTTGCGTAGCAAGAATTGTTTAATAGAAACTTTGCTATTTTATATATTTTTTATGCTCTCTGACGATTATTCGAAATAATCTTAATTACTTTCGGTAAAAAACTGAATAACATTATTTGGTTTTTGTGCTGTTTTGGAATTCACTGAAAAGAGTTTTCTTAGGTTCCCTGCAAACCGCTGAATGAGGCGAATTTTCTACCAAAATTATTTTTTTCATTTTTGGCTGAAAAGACCTCATTATTGTCAGAAAAGAAGAAAATCATCAGAAAATATTGGTTTTTTGCGTTTTTGGTTAAAAACTTTTAGTTTTGTGATCGGTTTTTAAGAAAATCTTAATGATTTTCGGGAAAAACGGGAGAAACATTTTTGTTTTTGTCCCGAATTCGACGCTGAAAAAAGTTTTTGTAAACTAAAATGCCAAATTTTTTTAACAAGCTCTACAGTTCAGAGGTATGGAGGTGACGATTTTTCCAAATAATTTATTATACTTAACTTAATTTATATAACTTTTGCTGATTTGAATGAAACTCGTGTCTTGATAGAAAATTATTTAAGCTGGAAAGGGATTTCGAAACTTTTTACAATGGGACGAAGGAGGCGAGTATTCAAATAAAACGTATTTCATAATTTTTCGCAGAAAATGCCTGAAAGAAAATTCCCACAAAGCTATAAATATATCTTGTAATTTTTCGAGTAAAATACATCCAAATCGTCAGTACTTTTAAGTAAAACTCTACAAAATAGAACGTTTTTGAGTAGAAAGCAACAGCAAAAAGCAAAAAATCAGTCGAAACTAAAAAACCACTTATTTTAACAAACACTTTGACAGCAGTCAGAGGAATGGAAGTGATGAGTTTTCCAAATAATTTATTATAAGAAAATTATTTGATTTTAGTGAAAAAATTCAAAGCTGAAAAGAGATTTCAAAACTTTTTACAAAGCGATGAAGGAGGCGAGTGTTCTAATAAAATTGATTGCAATGAAATTTGAAAAACACCTTAAGATTATCAGTATTTTTAAGTGATTTTTTTTTGAAAATTGAACATTTAGAAAAAAGGGTAACTTTGCTAAAACTGAAAAAATCTGAAATTTTTAAGAAATGTTAAAAATGTTATTGACAAATGGCCCTTCAAATAAATCTAAAAACAAGTAAAAAAAGTTAATAACATTTTTCCAGCAACGGAACTGAGTTACTGCGCTAGTGCGTTGGGTTGGCGCAAGCCATTTGCGTAGCACTGCGCCAACTCCTAAAAATTTATTGAGTTACCCAGGCCTACATTAAACGTTTCAGTTTGATCCGGTAAAGATGTATTCCCGCCTTTCGCAAAAAAAGATATGTGCAATTGCTCTTCTACTTGATGAAGAAACAAGCAGTTCTGCAATAAAAATATTTGCAGTACATCCAATGCTAAAAGAAAGGAAAAAGGAAAGCAAATATTGGACTTTATTCAAATTTTGAATTTCGTGAAAAAACGTTCTGTATATTCAAGAATGAATAGGATTCAGTAAGAGTTCAATTACATTTTCTAAAACCATATTGAAATTGTACTAAATAAAGATAAAATTAATTTGTCAAACGACGATTGAAAAGCGACACTTTCCGACTCGATCCGTTCGGGCCGGCATCCGGCAAATAGTGTTTCCGAAAATACTAAACGGAAACGTAAGGTGTCTGATATGATACATTTCCCATAGTGTGAATGGTTCATGTTTAAAATAATTAAATAATATTTTTCGGAAACTACACGCTACTTGCCGGAAACGCTACGTGCATGATAGTGTGCAAAGACCCAGTTGATTAGCTAACTAGAATATACAAAATAACAGAAGGAGGTCGCTAAAAAAACTTGACATTGACCTTCGTAACGATGGATAATTTACATGTAAAACACTAAACTCACATTAATATGCCAGAACACTCTCGGAAAAAATTAGCGAATTGACTGCTCTTGAAAATATTACACATTATTCTTCTTTCCAAATGAGCAGTTTGATACGAAGCTTTTATTATACATTTTTTATTATATTAAAAGCGTTTAGTCAAGATCGACTTTTCCGATTTTTTTTAACACTTCGTTCTTATTTGTTTGTTTGTCTTATTATGTCTCTGAACTCAGACAGTGAAAACGTTGTTGACTAACAAAGCATCTTATAGAAACATTTTAGATTGTAGTAAAGTTAGTAGTTTAATATATTATTGCATTATCTATCGAGGCAACTGAAGGCTTTCTGTAATTAATTATTATTCAAATAATAAAAACCGACTAGGAGGAACATTTCCAACCATATTAATAATTTCGTTAGTAGACATTTGATAGTGGTGACAAAATACAATATGTTCTTTTCATGCACCCGATACTATCAAAGTTAATAAAAACAAAGAAGAGCTAAAACAAGTTTATTATCAATTACGACAAGGAAAAAATGCTGTACTAGTAATTGTTAAATCATTCCATCCACATTAAATACAATGCAAACAATGCAAACAACGCGAACAATTCGAACAGTGCGAAACCCGATATAAGCAAAAGAATATAAATAAGAACAAGGAAATACAAATAATCGACACTAACCCTTCAAACTTGCCGGTTTTGTTCCGCTTGGATTGAGTAGTCTCATTAGTGATTATTCGCCGCTTTATTGGACTTGGCTGAACGGTTCCTGAAAGATCAGCTCCTGCTAATTGTCGCTGTCGCCTTGCAAAAGTAATAATGCTGTAAGTATCGCTTTGGCATAAAGTTTTCAGGGCAAGGGCGGCTTGATCACGTTTGTAAAGGGCCACATAAGCTGAAGTTTTCGAGATCCAGGATACATAAACATTTCCTAAAACAAAACGATGCTAAACTTGGAAATAGTAAAAGAATTAAGAAGTAAGGAAATGTTTAAATAATATAATTTTGGGTTGAACATTCAATAAAAATCTAACATTAACTTGTCGACTTCCAGTCAGTGATGCCATAACAGGAAATTTTTCCTTAGTTCTAGGTATTTTTCTCAGGTTTCTCAAGAAAAAGGGATTTGTTATAATTATCTAGGGATTTTTTTAATTTTTCGTTTATCTGCAAAAAAAAATAATTCTGGGGATAAAATATTAATATATCGGACTACATAAGGCAGTCAGCAGCGAACATGTCGAGGAATCCTTTGAATCTTTCATTAAGGTCTTTTTTAATTTCCCAGAAATAATCTTTACTGAGATGCAAAAATCAATAAACCTCGCAGTCAGTGTGATTTTCAACTGCTCTATCTACATATAAACTTTATCAAATACCTATTTAAATTAAAGCTTGCATTTAAAAGAATAAATGAGAATAACAATTGGAGCATTTTATTACATTTTTTAAATTTCGTAATATACTGTATTATTTTTTTAATTAACGTTATTTGTTTCACTTATCACTTTTTATTAAACATTTTTAATTATATTTTTTTGAAATTCTAGAAAAAACTAGAGATTTTTTAAGTGAGCATCTGGGAATTTTAATTTTACCAATCTGGCATTATGCTTCCAGCATAGCCAAAAGGCAACTTTTTTTACTTATTTTAAATGCATCACGATAACCGCGTTAGGATTTTGATGCAAGTCACAGTGGTGGAACATCCTGCATATTAATGCAGTGCTTTTCTTCTGTAAACTGTATATCAGCAAAGTAGCAGTTTCAGTCTTAAACTCGAATATAATAGATAAATAATTTAAAAAACCTTCGAAATGATTTCTATAAGTCCTAAATGGCTCGTAAAACTATTTTTATCTAGCAAAATGCCAAAATGTCGTTTGTAGCAAGATTTGGCTTTTAATGCTATCGCTTAATTGAGGGTAATTATAATAGATTCAAAAGCCAAATATTGGTTACATACGACATTTTGGCATTTTGCTAACTAAAAATAGTTCTTAATTTACCAGCTATTTTACGAATATACCATACCCATAGTACAAAATTTAATTAATTTATAACATAAAAACGTACTCACTAAATTCAACTTACCGAATGGGCTAAATAATTGCACAATATTATTAGTAGTCCACTCTTTGGGAAACGTCAAATAAAACACGTGATCCCTGGATACAATTTCTGAAAAGAGACAGGCAATTAGATAAGTCATTTACTGAGATTGGGGCGCGTTAAATAAACTTTTTTCTGCGTAGTAGTCAAAATTATTGTTTAAGTTCCTGTAGTTTGATACCGCTGAATGGTTTATTCAGACTTTCGGAACTTTGACCTTGCAGAGATAGTTTTTATGACGTTTTTGGTTCGTAGTATTTACACCCGTCCTCAAGTGAATACTTGAGGACTTGCATCTTAAAGCTAAACTATATTTTAATCATTTAAATCGAAGGTGTCCTTTACATATTGCAAGTGTGCCTTTCGAATTATTTCATATAAATGTTGATAACAGATAGATGACTGGTCACATAGAAATGGACCCATTCGAAAGGACATGACCCTTATCGTAAAACGTAAAACTAAAGGTACGGGTCCACTGGATACTTTTGTATCGCAACAATGTTGCACAACATGCTGGAAACACTTGTTTCCTGTCGACAGAGCAAATTAAACGTGTAACGCAACAAAATTCGTGTTGTTAGAGATTAAGTCAAAATCACATAACTGACAATTTGCACAGACGAATTATCAAACCGAACTTTCATATACTGTATTATCATTTAATTACTCTTTTTTAGGTTCATTTAGGTTCTTTTGATAACGATAGCAGTAAATAGCTATCGAAACGTCAAGGTAATTTTTCAAATTAATTTCATTACTAATTGGAATTTTCTCTTACAGCTTGAGCCTATGCGTGTCGCAACAAGAAGTTTGTAAAAAAACAAATCATGAGTCAAGCAACATTAATTCGATTCGCACGTGCACACGGAAGCTTTCTTATTAGCATTAAATAAATCCATGTTGCGTCATGTGTAAATCCAAGTGAAACTAGGAGAAATCATTTAAAAATAACAGAAGTACAGATCGATTCACTTGTAGGACCGCAAATTGGTCATTAATAAATCATTATACATACATATATCAAAAATAAACGAAATCTTAAAAATACAAGTTTCACAAAGTTGACATATACATGACAAAGTTGAGTTAAAATGTTTTGTATTGAATGCCCATACTACAATATTTAAATAAAAATATTCAAATAACAAAAATATAGTTAAATCTAAATCAGCCTGTAAATAAAGATAAAAAAGTCCATGTTTTATCCTTAAGGACTGCAAAGTGTATTGTGGAAAAGAATTTCCTCTCTCTATTTAATTTTGCTGCATATTTAAAAAAAACTATTTTAAGATCGTATAAATCATATTTAGATTTAAGATTATTTAATTCGATAATTACCAAAACCTTTTAAGTCGACTTGGATACAACATTGAAGAACAGACAAACGTTTTGAAACAAAAGCAGATAAAAAGCAATTTACAATAGAACAAAAACGTATGTGAGTTCTTTATGTAAGTGCCCATTTGCAAAATTAACTGGTCTATTCTCTTTTAGGTTTTCAATAAGCTGCTTGTTTAAGTCTAGGAGAAGAAGGGCACAGAATGTGAAATAAATAAAGAGTAAAATTACGAAAAATAAGAAAAAAACCAAATAGAGAAAATGAGTGTTGTTTTTCAAATGCATGAAGAACGTTTGTCAATTTTGCATATGCTAAATAGTTCTCAAGGGCAATACTTACGATCTGGGGCCTCTAGGTCCAAGAACTGATTATCTGCCAATATCATCAAAAATATCCTAAAAAAACACGAGTTAACAAAACTGTACTTTTCTATAAATAGATGCAGGAAGCTAATAATTTCCCGAAAGTCCCGTATATTCAGGGTTGCTCATTAGTTCGTCAAAGTTCGATATCACAGTAAATCTGAACTTTAGAAGAAAATGCTTCCTAAGAAAGTTTTTGATGTTTAAAAGGGGCACATTTTAAAATTACTTTTCAATATACAGGTGCATCATAAACGTGTGGCAGTTATCAACTATAGTTTTTTGAATGGAACCGGTTTTGCGCTTTTCGGATTTATCGTCAAATTTAAATGTAGTGTTACCACATGTTTAACAAAAAAATATTTTTAAATCCGCATTCAGAAACACGAGAAACTTTCGTAGGAGACATTTTCCTCTAAAATTCATATTTTCTGAGATATCGCACTTTGACGCACTAATGAGCAACCCTGTATTTTCCATATGGTTTATTTAGGACATGAAAATGGTAAGATTTTAAAAAGTTTGCTCCATTTGAAGTGCTCTTTTACAGGGGTTATTATTGCATCCAAAAGGTGTTATTTATAAAACAAAACTGACTATATTAATATATTCGTGCCAAGCAAACCATAAGACGAAAGGTCGCTTTATTCAAAGATCGCAAATATTTTAAAGACATGAAATGATAAAGCTTTAATAATGAGTTGGCAGATTAATAGTTTAATAGAAGACCCCTTTGTCACACAACTCTTTACAGTTATCTCTGTCCATGAATATTTCAGCTCGGGGACAGAAACACACGCGAATTAATCACAGACGTCGATCATTTGCTGTTGACGCTTTGTTACGTAACGTTGTAGAGTCAGATTTGATCAAGCTATATATAAAAGATGCTGCTAAAAGATGCTATATAAAAGATGCTGCTTAAAATTCGATGACTTTCAGACAATAAAAAGTGTCACAACATAAATACGAGTTCAAATAGGTGTTTGATAAATAGACTTACTTATTTTTATAAGGCTTCAGTAAACCTTCGCCCCTTCGTCCAATCAGATCACTAAGAATCAAATTATGTTGATCGCCTAAAAAAAATTTAAAGTATTATTTGCAAAAATCTAAATTTAACGAAAAAATGTGTTAGATAAAGCTCTGAAAATATCACTTAGTCAAAACACATACAGGGTGTCGTAAACTGTAATTAGGAGAAATTTGAAAATTGGACACGCTGTATAGACTTCTTATCTTTGAGATCACTAAATACTGTTTTTAAAACAAAGCAATATTTTATTGATCTGTTTGAAGATTTAATTTTAACTATTTGCTTCGGATGTTTTAATTTTACAAGTAAATGGGCAACAAGATGATAACTAAAATGCAAAATTAAAGTGAACAGATGTACAATATTCAAAGTTAGGAACAATGCCTACATTTCAAATAAATAATAGACATAAATTGTATAGACGTTTACAAACTGAAATGCAAATGCGTGATTTAAAAAAATTATAGACATACCTAAATGTTTCCACATCGCCAAAAAGCTAAGGCCAGTTATAAATGAGTCATAGCCCGCCTCATGTTCTTTGCTATCATTTATATCATATCCTTGGCCACCTTGCTCGATTTCTAAAATATTTTTCGTAATATAGTTTTTCATACAAATTTCAACAAAAAAATATCAACTTGTAAAAAAGATGTTTAGGTAAAAGTAATTATTTAGCTTCTTCTTCCAAAGAAATAAAAAATCACAATCTTACCGCACGGAGGAAGATTAAAGGGATGTGTTGTTACAGTGTGAACTAATTGCCCTAATACTGTGGATGGTATTATAGATTTAAAGTGTTGTGAACTCCCAATAAACTTTGTGTCATATACTCTGAAAAAAAAGTTTAGTATTTAAATGTATTAATGAATCAAACTGATCTAAGAAAACAGCAAGTATGCAAAATTAATTTAAAAAACTGCTTTACCGATCGATTTTTAAAAACTGCGTTAATAGGCAAAATCAAATAATCAATATTGCTTAGTACAGTTGGCGACACAAAAAATGGCTTTCTACCTCAGTATACTGACAACTACACTGATGGACAAAATTAGCGCACCATCTATAAATTTCGAAGAAAAAATATTATAAACCTTACATACTTTTATCAAAATTAAAATCAATCATCATCAAAATATAGTTAATAACAACTCAATGGCGAATTTTAAATGTTACTTTGAAAATATCGTCTGTGCCAAAAAATAGATTAACATTCAGTTTTTAATTGATCGTTTTGAACATTTCAAACATAAATAAATGTATATGTATTGCTTATTAGGTGGAACTGACTGGCATTTGATGTCGCCTCATGTTGAAATAAAATGATACAATTGAAAATATGTAGACTTACGCTGGGAATAACGACTTAACCACATCCTTAAAATCCAAATAATCGTGTGGTAGTGGAGTCAAAAACTTGTCAATTGTGTGAAGAAAGTCCAATAAGAAATTATGCCCTACTATAATTTTTTCCTAAAAAAATTAAAAAATGTTTTGTGTAAATGTGTCAAAATCTCACCAGTTTCAGGCTATTTCATGCATATTGTTGGTGATATAATCAAATACGTCCTTCCATTTTCGTACTTACCGATTTTACAATCATCCTAATGACTTGACTGAATCCAATATAATCATCTAGTTCGGATTTTAATTTTTCAAAAAAAATACGATCAATTTCTTCACTTTCCTCTTTACACTTTAATTTAGTGGCAAACAGAATTCTCTCGGAATTCACAGAATGAGCGCGAAGATGAATTTTGTCATGAAACTTTTCGCTATTTGTCTGATACAGAAGTCGTCTCAAGAATGAGTTACATTTTGGAAGTTGCAACTCAGATTCATTTGAAGCGAGAAAAGCTTCGAGTTGTTTTCTGCGGAAAGAAAACAGATAGTGATAATCTTAAGTATGTTCTACACTTTTTAGTGGAGAAATTTATAAACAGAATAAATGTTTGTATAAGATTTAAAAACAGGCAAATAAAATGTAACTAATTACAATGCTAGTTTTGCAATTACATTACTACAATACTAGTAATGTACAATAATTACAAAATTGCTACAGTATAAAATAAACTATGCTTACACAACATCATCGATAAACTCCTGATTTGCTTCAGGAATAAGAACAATATCATGGTTTCTATTGTAGTTGGAATTATAAGACTCGGTTTTTAATCTCTGTTGTTCTTTGATAGTATTGCGCCATTCATCTTCTTCTACGTTATTTAAATAAGAAATTCCCTCTCTAAATAGTTTGTTAAAATCAAATGATTGTTGAATCAGAAAATCGATGCAGGACGTCTGAGATAAAAACCTTTTGTCTTGGATGAAATGGTTTATCGGTCTCCGAAATGTGTAAAAGTTATAACTTTTATGTTTTATACTGTCAGTAGTTTCATCCAATCTGAAATAAAAATGTGTATGCAGCATGATTTGGATAAAGTCTACTAAGGCCTGATGTTTCAATTATTAGTAGGCAGTGTAATGTTGTTAAAATTCACAGTTAATAATCTTAATACAAATGGAGTCCCTTATATTAGTATTATAATAGTATTTTATATTAATCATTATTGATTAATAAGAAACAAAAACCCAAATACCTAAATAGGCATTATTTACCAATTAGCATTACGGTTACTAATAAACCGCAACATTGTTTATAATGTATGACTCGTCAAAAGCATACATTATTATTGATAAAATACAATAAATGGTACAAAATGCATATTAACATACAGGGTGATTTAAAATTGGCGTCATTCCTCTGGAGGTGTTGCCTGACGCTGTTATAGGAGTACAGAAAAAATAGTAAAAGAAATTAATTGTTATTAAAAACTGAGAAATTTGCAAAAAACCATATCAGAAATACGGCAGCAATGTTTTTCAAGGTAATCTGCCTAATTAACATTGTGCAAATACCTGTTGCTTATTTAAAACTCCGGTAACTCCGGTTGAATTATACAGAGTGACAATAAGATAGACAAGGATAAACGGTAAATTCAACAAGATTCGTTGACTGCGGAACGTACTTTCGAAATGTCAACCTGTTCTCATAATCTCGAGTTCTGCGGGGTTTGGTGTTTACAAATAATCCATACAACACCAAACATTTGAATGGTTAACTCCAAACAAGCTAGTGCCTGTGTAATCTCATTATTCACTCTTATCAAGCAGCTTCTTGTATTCAGTTAATTAACTCCTGCTCCATTTGTATCTCATTGTGCTGTGTGTATCGTACAAACGTGGTACGAATGTAGCCCTTCCTCGGTATTTATTTGGTGGGAGAGGAAATTCAAAGTAAGTCACAATTTGACAAAATATTGTTATTATTGACAAGGGCTATCCACCTGTAACTATCTGTTAATGACAAAAACCTTAATTGCCGTTGTGATTTTTCATCAAAAAATTGTAGAAGAGAACTTTTTTGATATCAAAAATTTTCGTTATTTGAAGCAAAGATCGTAATTTTTCTTTTTGAATGCTTAAG